GATGAGGTATGGATTAGAACCACTCACAACGAGCATTGACAAAAGGTTGAAATAGAGCCACACTCTTCTTATCGCTCTCATTGTAGTATGTTTGGCCACAGTTCTACTATCTGCTATCGTTTATATCCTCATCTAAGACCGGATATTGCTAAAGATCAACCACCAATCATCTCTGCTGAGAAGGTGCAATTCGATCCTCTTTCCAACACCGTAGTTTCTAATGAAGAACACCATACCCAAGCCGTTCTACCTTTGGATGCTCCTGCTTTTGAACACCCTATTCCAGCGGTTGGCTTGGAGCATGGTACTTTGGAGCCCCATGAAGCATCTCCTCATACTACAAATACAGATCCAAACGTGTTTATACCCCTCACTGTTATTCAAGCAGACTCACTTACATGTCAAAACACACGAGAGTGTTCATTTGATCCAATAGAAGATGAGCTGGTACAACAACTAGTTGTTTCTAATGTTCAACATCTTACACATGTCCATCACACTTTAGACCAATCCACTGATCAGGTGAGCCAGTCTTCGGATAAGGAATTACGGGTCTATTCCAGGAGGAAGAAGAAGAATGGGGGCCGACTCGAGCTCAAGAACTTATTGGACGATACATTGGTTACTACTGGCAATGACACTCACCTTATCAATTTGTTGGCTGACTCCTTTCCTAGAACTTGAGGCAATACATGAAAAAATTGGGTCGCTCTCTAGCTACTTGATACTACGTGGTTTGATACTTTTGATTTTTTTTTTTTGGATCTCATGTATTTTTTTAGATTTTCTCTTTTGCATGTGGTGGTTTTCTCTTTTGCATGTGTTGGTTATCGCGTGGGTAGGGTGTCATGTTTGGGCCCTCTCTCACACAATCTATCTCTATCCTTCTTTATTTTAATATATTTGTCATTAGGTTTTCTCCATATATAATAATAAAGATATATTAAATTTTTTTAACTGAATATTTTAATATAAATAATAATATTTAAATCTCGCTCCACTCTTATCATCCTACGGCTGTGTGATTAGGGTTGTCAAAGTATCTTATTATTCGTGAATAGCTCGTGTTCGGCTTGATAAGCAAACGAGCTCACCACTAAGCACAAACAAATTTTTTGAGCTCTATATATAAACGAGTCAAACACGAGCAATGATATTTTTTAACAAGCCGGGTTTTGACTCGCTCAAGCTCGGCTCGATTACACCCCTAACGACTACATGCATGACTAGAATTGTCAAAATATTTTTTTTGTTGACAAACAGCTCATGTTCGACACTTTAAGAGAACGAGGCGAACACAAACAAATTTTTTGTGTTCGAAATATAAACGAGCCGAGCAATATTAATGGTATTTTTTAACGAGCTGAACACGTGCTAAGCCCGGGCTCGCTCATGTTCGGCTCGTTTACACTCCTAAAGGAGACCTGCAATGCTCTATGGCACAAAATGTTGACCTTTAAAAGAGAAGCATAAAACAGTAAGTATAAAACAAAGTTAAGCATTGCCGAGATGAGAATGCTTAGGTGGATAATTGACTATACACTTAGAGGCAAATTGCGAAATGAATATATCCTTTATAGGTTTGGTGTAGCTCCAGTGGCAAACAAATTAGAGAGAGTCGTCTTATGTTTTAGATTCGGTTTATGTTAAGAAAGACAAAGGTAGACCTAGAAAGACTTGGGTATATTGTACAAAAATGATCTTAATTTATTAGAATTAAATGAATATATGACAGTCAATAGGACGCAGTGGAGAAAAATGATTCATGTAGCCGACCCCACTTTGTGGGATAAAGGCTTGTTGTTGTTGTTGTTTTGATAAGTTCATTAGGATTTAATTGTTATTTTTTGGTTGTAATTCGTTATCTAGCTTCATTAGGATTAACTTTCATGAACTTCAAGTGGCCTAGTCACTGCTAAAATATGATGGCAAGCATTAGGAATTGGGAGACCTTATGTCAAGATGCTTTGGATTCAGAACCTTTCGTCTTATTGTATCAACTTGAACACCCTTATTCTCTCTCAGGGACTTTTTGAAGGTTTGAAAGCGTACAGGAAAGAAGATGGGTCAATTTTACTATTTCGGCCTGAGGAAAATGCTAGGCGGATGAGAACCGGTGCTAAGCGGATGTGCATGCCCTCACCAACTGTGGAGCACTTTGTGGATGCTGTAAAGAAAACTGTTTTGGCGAACAAACGCTGGGCAAGTATTATATTTCTACCATTTCCAAGCAGTAATCTGCTGAATTTTCTCTTGATTAGATCCACTTTTATGCAGGTTCCTCCTCCAGGCAAAGGATCGTTGTACATTAGACCTTTGCTCATGGGCAGTGGGGCCGTACTTGGACTTGCACCAGCTCCTGAGTACACATTTCTTATTTTTGTTTCTCCTGTTGGGAATTACTTCAAGGTTTGTCGAGAATAATCTTTAAATGTCACAAGAAGGCACCATTTAGCTGTTTAAAAATTGTAATTTGTTAAATCGCTTTCCTTCTTGTGCCTTTGATCAACTATATTCTTTGATGTGCTTTTGAAATATAATGTTAGTTGTCGTTGGTCACTGATGGTTTTATTTCTTTTGAGAATCTCAGGAGGGTTTAGCACCAATAAACTTGATTGTTGAGAATGAATTTCATCGGGCAATTCCTGGTGGCACCGGAGGTGTAAAGAGTATTGGAAATTATGCTGCGGTAAATGCTTGTGAGAAACCTCTTGATTTTCTGCAGCTATTTTTATAGTGCAGTAAGCAGTATTTTACGCATATATCATAAGGCGTTGGATGAGTTTTTATTGTTGATTTAATGTTAATATAGTTTCTGGACATGGTTTTTTAACCTGAATTACGGCATGATTGTTGAGGTTTGTTCTTATTTTGGGCTTTTCTGTTGAAATGCCTTACAATTCTTGTAACTGGATGTGCTCTAATATTGATCTGCATTTGCAAAAAGGCGGGTTTGAGCAAGTTCAAAAGTCTCTTGTTTATCACTATTTGGTGATTAGGTTGTTATACACTAGAACTAGCGAAGAATAGGATATTGGTGTCTGAACCTCTTTTATTGATGGAAATCAGATAAATTGACCCTGATTGTTCTTGAAATGATAAATATTGTGCCAAAACAGGCTGAAACTGCTGGTAATTCTAAGTAGCTATGACACCGTTCTAGAGTTCCTAGATGGTGTGATAACACACAAAAGGTGTTGAAAATTTGTGGTAATTATTGACTGGGGTGGATGGAGGGGCGAATGAAAATCATTGTTTGAAATGGTGTTTGAAATTCCTTGAATAATGGTCTCGTCTGGAATGCAGGTTGCTACTGCGTCATTCTTCTTGGGTAGGAAGGGCTTCGTCTTCTTCACTAGAAGTTTATGTAATCAATCTATTACCATCATGACAAAATCATCGCCTTGATTTGTTTGAAGTAGTCCCACTATGAAATCTTTGCTTAGGTCTACTTTAGGTAATTTAAAGCACATGCATCATTCCATAGATTGTTGTGATAGAATAAGTAATCATTTTGTTTTGGCACAATTAAATTTGGAACTGCACATAAATGAGTTTCTCCCAAACCAAATGCAAGCCATTAGATCTGTAATATGCTCTTCACGTTCATCGTACTCGACTGAGCCTATCTGATAATTAAGTCTATGTGGAGGAACTAGTTCTGGAACAAAATTTGTGGCATGTTGTGTCACTCTCAGTGGCGACCACCTAAGAGGTAAACAGTCAGTCGCGATATCCGACAACTCCTGCAACAGGGTCTGTTCTTTTTCTGATATTGCCTCCTCAGAGTTATTTACTTCCAGGACAACCAATACTAATTGCCACCTCCGGCCAGCAGCCGCCATTATCGGTTGCCACCCCCATCCGGCCATCAACACCTCCATCCGTCCATCAACACTGCGAGTAGCTGCCTCCGGCCACCACCTTTGCGAGCCGCCGCTTCCTGCCATCATTGTTACCGCCACCGCCGCCATAATTCATTAAAAAGCTCACATATTTTGAAATATATTGTTTTCATTTTACTTCAAATCAAATAGATAATGAAATAAAATCGTCTGTTTATTTTACAGTGAATCAAACAACTCCAAGTACTTCAAATATAATACATTACTCCTAAATTGCAATCATTTTGCACTGCATTTTTTTCTGTTGACCAAACTACCCGTTATAAAAAAATTGTTATATTGAGGAAAATGTTAACGTTCTTATTAGCTTGAATTTTTGTACTAAACTTACAGACAATTAGCCTTTTCCTTGTCTCTTAAATGATTAAAGTTTCTTATTCAGTTGTCTGGGTTTTTTATGTTTTTTAACTAAAGTTTTCCATTGATGCTGTCTTTCTTGATCTTATGCAACGAATCAAGCTTTAAATCACGACATATATCTATTTCCGTATATTCTTACACAAAAAAAATCTTATTGTAAAATAAGATTTAGCACTAGTAGAACTCAAGAACAATGAATGAAGGAATAAAAAATTATAAATTCAACCCCAATTAATTGGAATAAGGATTATATGAAAAAAAAAGTTCCTAAAGTCTTGACCTTTGAAAAACTCTAGTACCAATCATCTTCATTGTACTGCTTGGAACTTCTAAACTTTTTTTTTTTTTCAGGTATTAAAGGCGCAATCTATTAGCAAAGGCAAAAGGATATTCTGATGTTCTGTACCTTGACTCGGTTCACAAGAAATATCTCGAAGAAGTGTCATCCTGTAATGTTTTTGTTGTGAAGGTATATACATTGTCCATTCAGCCCCCATCCCCTTCCTACTTTTTCCAATTTACAGAAAAGTGCCTAACATTCCGGTATAAATAGATGATTAGAAACTTATAGTTGGCATTATTTTTTCTAGTTTCATAACAATCTCGAAGAAGTGCATTACAGTTGGCAGTATTTTTGTAGTTTCATCCATATATTTTCTTTTAATGCTTTTGTTTGTTTTGACCCATAAATTTTCTTTTATTGCTCGGTTTTCTTTTTTTTTTTTTTTTTGATTTGTGTTCAATTCAAAAGTGTCTTGGTTTGCATGACTTAATACTTTTTCATTTGCGTTTTTATCTTGTGTTCAGTGCTTTGTTTATGACTTACAATTTATATATTTGCTATAATTCTATGATTTTTTTGATGCTTCTAGATAACTTTTTGGCTGGTTTATTTATACTTTCTAAACTATTTGTTTTTTAGGACAAAGTCATATCAACTCCTGCAATACAGGGAACCATACTTCCTGGCATTACTAGGAAAAGTATAATTGAAGTTGCTCAAAGCCAAGGATTTCAGGTATTTAATTTTATATCTCTGGTTTTGAAATATTTTATTGCAGGTAGTCTAACTGGTTTTCTCTCATAAGCTTCAAGCTTCTACTTGTTTGCCAATTTATTGTAGAAGCAAAGATGAAAATAATAATTTGAGAAATCGTTACATGATTTAAAGGGGGTGAATATAAAGATCTAAATTAATAGAATTATTATGTATTCTGCAAAAATATTTGAAATAGTGAAGTTGAGTTAGTTTTAAGGATAATGCACAACATAGAACTTTGAGTTCAAATTTTATACCTATTGAGATTTGGATGGTTATTAGATCTATCCGGCTAAGTTAATGGATCTTTTTGTTGAATTTCCAAGGATTAAGAAGACGGTTAATGATGGGAAAGTTGATATTCTAGTTCCAATTTTTAAGAATACAAGTGATGTCCACAATTGTGATAAACGGAAGGTAATCAAATTTATTTAACACATAGGAAAAGGCAATGAAAGAAAGTTCTAGGAAAATTATATGAATACGAGATAATCAAATTGGTTTAATGTCATAAACATTTGAAATGGAGGTATTTTTATGTTAAAATAATTTGTGAAAAATTATAAAGAGCCATGGAAGGAAATTCGTATTATTTTTGTTGATTTTGATTATGGATATGATGAACACAACATATATTGATTTGCACGCACTAAGGGAAAATGTGTTTTTCATACGTTAAAGTATTTAAAAATATCTATATAATAGAGTAATGTCTAGAATTTGAGGTTTTTCTTGGTAACAAAATATTTATTGTTATAGTATGGTTACATTAAAAATCAACATTCAGTTCACATCTTGTTGGTATAGTTGTGGAAATGCTTGCAAAACGTATTATGGATGAATTTTTTTCATTTATAGCATTTCGATATTGCATTTTTTTATAGTTGAAACAGCTTCTAGAACAAGCAAAAACCTTGCAAAATTATGAGTGCTTAGATTAGTACAATTTAAGAGATAGAATATGAGATATAATTTTTTGTTGATGCCAGATTGGTAAATTTTAGTTAATAGAATTGAAAGGTAAAGCAACCTCTAATCTTTTGTTATAATAGAGAATGCTGTAGGAATACCATGTAATGCAATCAAATGCTATAGTAGCTTAATGTCAACTTTTTTTAAACTTCTATTTAGTCACGCTATGCTTTATGGATCCGAGTGTTAGGAACTAAAGACATCGCTGACAATCAGAATGAGAATATTTAGCTTGTAGTAAAATTTGGAAATAAAGAGTAAATGATTATGTTAGAGACTGGTGTGACTTTCACCTATTGAATTTAAGGTAATAAAAAATATATTTTAGGTCATGTAAGTCTATGTTGAGGAGGTTAGAAGTTGCACTAGTAAAGTTTTGATTCGTAGTTAATTTAAAATATTATGTAATTGAATAAGTAGAAAATATAACATGGCTAGAAGTGCAAATAAGCACATAAAATAAATTGAAACACTTCATGGAGGACTCAACAGCATTGGACCTCATTTAGCACTCAATAGCAATGAGTAGACGATTCCAATCCGACCGCAAATGGCCCAAGCGTTCCCCTGCTAATATATGGTTTTAAATGAATATGAACTGAAACATATCCCACAAATATAGAAGCTTGCTTCTAAGTAGCAGAAAAGGCCCAGCTTATACGGCCCATAATTATAGAAGCTTGCAAAAAACATTTCAACACTTTAGTTACATAGTTATACAGGCACGTTTGATTCTCTACACTTTCTCATTTAAGCATAAACTATGCCCATACGTCCATAAGATTTGGGACTAAATGCTGCTTAATGTCACCTCCCAAAAGAGCTCTTATGGGTGGTGGGCAGCCCAGGACTTAAATACTGCTTTTCGGCCCTACACCTAGTCGATGTGAGACTATTTGTCCGTGACATTCTCCTCCACCCAATCACGTGACGCCCATGTCACGGATCGGCTCCACCGAGGGTCCCACTGGACCATGGAGAGTCCACACACTTGACAGGCAGTAATCTGCTTTGATACCACTTGTCACCTCCCAAAAGAGCCCTTAAGAGAGGTGGGCAGCCCAGGACTTAAATACTGCTTTTCAGCCCTACACCTAGCCGATGTGGGACTATTTGTCTGTGACATTAAGGTCTTCCACGAAACTTAAAAGAAAGATTTACGTACATGTGAGCTCCGCTCCGAAAATTTACGATTGCTCCCTGAGACAACTCTCTTCATTTATTTTTATTTTGAGAGAAAGCTTTGGAGGGTCTAACTTTTAGGAGACAAATCGGATTGTAGATAAAGACATTACCTAGAAATTTTGCCCTCATTTTGAGAAGACTTTTTGATCTGGGGTTTTTATAGGTGCAGGTGCCTCTAGTTAATTACCCATCCCGATAGCGAGAAAACACTTTTGATTAAGACTTGTCATTAATTATTGAATATTTAACATATAATAGCACTAGACTTAGGATTTAAATTGAAAAATTAATCACTTGAAGCTTAAAGCGGATGGTGGGGGAATGAAGACGAAACCCGATCAAGATTTCATGGTTTCGTCATCCCGGGCCTTCATGGTCCCTAATCTACTTAGTCAGAGGAAGTAGTCTCCCCAACCTGATAGAAGGATCCTAGTCATTAGTCATGGGTTATGTCGTCCAAGAGGTTCTTGTAAATCTGGGTTGCATATTTATCTATGGGGACAAATTTACGTTGACTTTAGCTAACGGAAGATTTTTTGATAATCAATTGTACCCTTATAATTCACAACTCAAATGGTAGAAAACCGTTGGGGAACATATGGGCTGCGACCGTAACCGTAATATAATGGTGTCATTTGGTGACAATTACCTTGTCAGAGGGCTCTGGTCGTAACCGCTTGATTGCAGAACCACGCAGACATAGGACTTGGGTCACTTCCTTACTGCCATGCAATTACTTTGATTGTTAATATAGATGTATCATTTACTTTTTTGTGAGTTGATGTCAATAAAAAATTTGTCATCCTTGACAAACTGTCACAGAGGGTGGTTGGATTTTGTTTTTAACTTTTAAGTGATTGAATTTTACTTGCATATTAGTTGATTATTTTGAAAAGCTTGATTTAAAAGATTAATCAATCTGATTGAAATCTTCAATCAATACGGTTATCATCAGGTATTGTACTTTTAAAGCTTTTATATTTGAAGTGGGGGTGCATTTAGTTTTGTCAATTTAAGTTTTTAAAAGTACAAGTCTCGTCGACTTGTGTTCTTATAGGTAGGAGGATCAAACTAGGTGATTTGGACTTGTAAATTCTTATTTTAGAACATTTATCTCAAAATTACTAGATTCGTCGACTCTTGTCCTTGTGAGGAGAAAGACCAGACTAGGGGTGGGACTTACACTCCTACTCTATAGATAAGGCGACCCGATTAGCCCGCACAACGTTCTCGAAACTAGTATTTGAACATTCTATAAGTTTGTTGGGGCATGGGCTTTTAAATTTAACATATTTGAATTTAACGCATCACAAAAATTTCTCATAATCAATTTGGATGCATGAGTTTTAAGTCTTGAACCTAATATGAACTTTACAAAAGATCTTAAGTGCAACCCCTATAAGTCTTAAAAGTGTGGGTTCATATTTCAATATGTTGCATTTAGCTTAAAGAGATGACCACGAAGCTTGTAAATTTTTAAGTTATTTGGAACTTAAAATATTTGCAAAACTGTTATGATTTTAGAATTTGAATGCAAGTGATGAAGAATGATGACTTAGGACATAGAGGGCAAAATAGAGAATAGTGGAGACGAATAAGACAGTTTCAATGTCTTCTGCCACTTGTCGTGACGGAAGGCTAATGAGAAGCGATAAGCCAAAGATGAACGAAAAGGGGAGCAATGTACGAAAACAATGTGAATGAAATAAGAGGATAGTGACTTACGCTGCGCGGCTTCAGATTCAGAGAAGAAGGACAAAGCGAGGGGACGAGCTGAAGAAACGTCTGGGGTAGAAGGGAGCAAAACAATGCGAACAAATGGTTACCAAGCCTATCGTGCGGGTTTTACTTCAAACATAGCTATGAACAATTATTCCTTTCAATGGGGTCTAAGAGGCGGGTGGCAAGAATAAATAAATCTTTAAGTTAATTAATTTAATTTTAATTAATATAACTTTTGTTTTTCTCTTCCTCCATTTTTTTTTTACAATCAAAATTACATATCATTTAATTCTTTTCTATTTACATTCTTTGCTATTTACATATCTAACACCTGAACTTCAATTTTTACTTGCATGTCAGCTTACCTATGCTTAAAAAATTATATTTTACTTTGTAAATGTTATAATGGTGGTATTTTCTTATGTGATGAAAGATTTTGGTGGTATAAATAAAAAAAAAAAAAAGGTGTTTGATATGTAAATACATAATTGGGTGGTATGTATATAATTTCATACATTCATTTAACAAATGGATTATAAATCTAACAAAGATAATTACCAATGGATTAATCAATTTAATGTGTAAAATAAAATAAAATTTTAATATATGTTATTGTAACTAAAATTTGGATAATATTTTTTTCTTAAAAATTTATCAATTATATATCTTTTTTAGTAAAATAAATATATTTTTATCTAAAAATAAAAATAGGATTATTTAAATAAGATAAGATTATAATTATTAGTAATGATTTAAATTTTAATAATATTATTAATATTAGTAACATTTTCTTAAATACATCATTATTATTTTTGTAATGTCATATAAAGTATTAAAAAAAGGAATTCTTCTCTTATTAAATGAATGTGAGAATTTATTTTTTTTAAAAATAATAATTATTTTCATTGAAATAATTCACTCAAACTCACTTGAAGAGAAATTATTTTTTTATAAAAATAATCCACAAGTTTTTAAAATTATTGAATTGTGCCCCCATTATTAAATATTTCTGCCTTTACCCCTGGTTAGGGATCATTATGTTGATAATATTGTCTTAGATTGTAAGCAATTTAGAGATTTAAAAGTTTAACCTATTATTTTAAATTTCTCAATCTTTTCATCAACTCGTTTTATGCTGGTAAGGCTATATGCTTAATAATTATACTTCCTGCCTTTAACTCTGCCCGACATTTTTTCTCGTTGCAATTAGTCGCGTGCTAATTAATTTATTATTTTTTTAATTTTCATTTTAACCTAATTTATTATTTTTGCGAATTTGCCCCTCATTACAAATGTTTGGATAAATGATTACTTAGTGCAAGCTAAAATGTGTTAGCAATTTTTCTGATTATCTTATCATGTTGAAAAAATGTTGGTGAAGGTTGAGGAGAGGCTTGTAGCCATAGATGAACTGTTTGAGGCTGATGAAGTTTTCTGTACGGGAACAGCTGTTGTTGTATCCCCTGTGGGGAGCATTACGTACCTTAGGAAAAGGTAAAAGTTTATCTTTCTCATCCCTTTTTTTTCCATTGGCATGAAAATTAACTCTACCTGACATTTTGCTTTTATTAGATTGTATTCAAATGACAATAATGGAACACTTTTATAAATTTATGTTAAAGAGTTGTCCTGCCTGCATCTGAAATTACGATGCATGGAGCTTTCTAGGAGATTGCATCAGTGTATCTGCCGTATTTTTGGTAGTTAATTTTAGATTCTCTTTTTTGCACTACAGTGTTAAATGCAACATTCTTAATGAGTGTTATTAAGAGTGATGTTGGACAGAGTTTAGGGTCTAGGGATGCAATTTAGGATGAGATGCAGGATGAAAATATAGAAGGAAAAAAAATACTAGTCCACGTGTTAAACTAATTATTTCAGTAAAAGCTTGGTGCTTTTAATATAACCAGCATGAATGTGGAAGTGTGACAAAATAGCAGCAATAGGCTGATCTTAGATGTACGAAAAGCCGAAGCAATATTTAAAAAATAGAAATAATTATGGGAAAGACAGGTATTGTGAGTACGCATAAAAAATGAATACAATCTTGGGAACAACAATTGAAAAATGGAGACAACAATGGCGAGAATTACAGCACTACAGAGGAAACAATAATTAATAATTTATAATTCACTTTCTGGTTGTGATTTTAAGTTCTATATTTGTTGATTAGAATTCAATGGGTTGTGTTGAAATCTTAGTTTAATGTGCAAATCTAGTAAACTACTGAGAATACTAATTGATAGTCATTCACATAGGAGTTTCATCATAAATTAAAATCAAAACAGATCTTTGAACGCTGATACCAGCGCTCGCCAAAATTTCTAATTTGTAATCATTAATCTCAATAAGTCTCAAATTTTAGAAGACACTCACTTTCTTACAATTAAATTCTTCATCATAAATTAAAATATAAACAGATCTTTGAACGCTGATACCAGCGCTTGCCAAAATTTCTAGTTTGTAAACATTTGTCTCAATACGTCTCAATTTTTAGAAGACACTCACTTTCTTACAATTAAATTCTTCAAGGCTAGGAAATCTATTTGGTTTAAGACATACCATTTTCTCATCTCCTAAGTTTAATTCCACAATTTTTATATATACATCAAATCTATTGTTGTCATAGATAATTCTTTGTTCGCTGCAAACTAATTTATGTAAAACAATTTATGCTTATCATTCAAATGATATGATGCAAATAATGAAAATACTAAAAAAATATAATTCTTTCTTAGGGATATTAATGATGGTTTGTTACCTATTCCTATATGATTATTTGAAGAAGAGAATGAGAAAGGGGGATTTAATAGTTTAAATTGTGAAACCTCTTTTAGAATGAAGCTAAACTCTTAAGCACTGAGATATTTTTTAGTGTAATGGTTGAAATTTCAATAGAAACTCAAACTAAGCATGCCCATGTAGGAGCACTCTTGTGATGAGTGACTTCTTGGGAAGTTATACCAACGAGACAAAACCGTGAGGCCATTAGACCAAAGTGGACAATATCTTGATGTGTGAGAGCTCGGGATTTTACAAATGGTATCAGAGCATTACACCTGCCTATAGATAGAAATATTTAAATGGTTGATGATTCTAGGTTAAGAAAACTGAAGAGAGTGTTAGTTACTTAAGTGGGGGAGATTGTGAAATTTCTCAAATAAAATGAAACTAAACTCTTAAACATTAAGACATATTTTTGTATAATGGTTGTAAATTTATCAAAAACTCTAAAGTTACACCATCCGGTACGAGTGCGCACTTAGGATGGTTGACCTCCAAGGAAGTTACACCAATAGTACAAAATTGCGAGATCATTAGGCAAAACGGGTAATATGTCAATGGGTCAGAGTTTGGGCTATTACATAATTATCATTGTGATGATGTACACACTTTCAGAGTTGATGAAATTTTAGAACTCATATTAGGAATGTCTTTGTTTTTTATGTTTATGAGTGTGTCAGCCTATTAACTAACATTGAAAGATAAGTAGATATAATTTAATTAGAACTTTCATTTAGAATTATTTACTTGTTCAATGGTTTTATTATATTTTGATAAGCATAATTTATTTACTTTAGATTTCAAGATTTACTTTACCAGTTTGCTTGCTAGGCTCCCCTGCTACAATATATATGTTTGTTCACTTCCATATTCAAAATTTACTTTTCATTTTGACCAATCAACTTTTCAACTACAATTGGAATACTTTGTTTAGTTGCATTTTCATTGAGTGAATTCAATTTATAACACAAATGTTCAATTTTATATTTAGAAGTTTCTATGGAAGTCATTCAAGATTCAATTTCTATAAAGAGCTCAAATTCGCAGGTAGGATTTGATTCATGTTCTAATTGCAATTTAAGTTCAGTAGGATTGTATGTTCAATGATAGTTTTAAATTCGGTGTCTATTTGGGATATTTATAATAATCTCACACTGAATTTTGATTTTTGTTGTGAATTCTGACTCTTGTTCAAGAGTAGGCTTTACTTTCTTGGAATTGATCTTGTCTTCTACTTTGATTTCGTAGCTATTGTTCATGGTCAAACTTAGGCCCATGGATAAATTCTAGCATAGTTGTAGATTCACATTCATCACAATTAGATATGGAGTCATGTTGCAAGTTTAAAATTTCTTTTGCAATTAATGCATTCTTGAATTAGCTCGATTTTAATCATAGCCTTCATTTAATTCATCTTCAAATGAATATTCATGAAATATGTTCTAAGTTTAGGTTTGGTCACATATGTTTTTTTCTATAGTCATGAAACATGTTTTTTTTTTTTTTGGTGCTATTGTTTGTTTGATAAGTTTGAGAGGAGAAGGAAATGATTTTTCTATGGGGATTCTAACAACAACTACGGTATTATTAATATGTTGTTTATGGTATGTCTCAATTTCCAAAGATATGGCTATGAATTCACTTAGGGTTTTTGGTTTGTTTTTTTTTTTTTAATTTTTAAACTTTGAGTGTTTTGAGAATTTTCATTCCTCCCTTGTTAAGTTAAACGTCTGCACATTTTAATTTCCAATTTTAATGCTCATTAGCTTCTTGATTATTATTATTATCTTTTTATCCATCTCAATTGAGCCATTATACTATTCATTAATCTACTTATATTCTCTATTATGTCATGTAATTTAATCATATCTATTCATTCTGGGAACTCTTCGAATTTTCTACTTGAGTCATAGATGCGGTTCATGTAATATATAATTTTATTTTAATTTTAACTGAATGATGTAAAGCTCATTTCTTGAATATGAGATGCCGTTTGGGATGATTCTTAGTTTTTATTATTTATTTATTTTTAATATTCTTACATAAAAGTGATCCCAAGGAAGTCCTAATGTTTTTTTTTTATTAATATTGCATGTCATTATGTTATCAAAAAATGTTAGTTGCATTGCCTGTTGTCCTCATGCTTGACATTTTCTGCTTGTAAATTCATTACAAACAGTCTGCATCAGTTAATCCACCACCTGCAATCTGTTTCATTCTACTGAATCTGAATTGGTGCAGGAAAGAATATGGAAACAGTGGCGTCGGTGCTGTATCACAACAACTCTACTCCGCACTCACAAGCCTGCAGATGGGTCTTTCAGAGGACAGGCTGGGTTGGACCGTTGTGGTTGACTAGACCAACTCAACAACTTCAAATTCATTTTTACTGCTCTTAACGTATTCCGGAGGACCACCTTTGACCCCAACTTATCATTGGTCTTGTAGCTTTCTCTCTTTCTGCTCTCATTTCACAACCAATGTCATTAGCTTATCTTTTTAATTGTAGATATGCCGGCAACTTTTGAAATTAGGTCAGTTAACCATTAAGAATATTCAATATATATTAATACTTGATTTTTATTGTGATTTGATGTTGAACTTTTAGTTTGTTGATGAGGAACTATCCAAATAGAACTCTTAACAAAATTTATGGTCGAGATGTGTTTCTACGAAGTGAATTCAGCGATGTTAGAATCAAGTGATTCATAGCTTATTCACATCATAAATTTATTGAACCGGAGTAGATGATCAGTTGGCCGGTTGTGAGCCTGGCACACTTACCTAGTTGCGAGTAGTTCAAAACTGCCCTTCGTGTACAATGATATATTTAAAGTCTCCAATTGTGGAAAGAGTACTAATAAGATGAGCTATTGTGGAAGAGCAATTAAGTGTGCTAAAAAAGAGAGAATATTATGTATAGAGTACTTATCACGTACAATATTGATTTAGCTTGTTATATAACACGTGTATAATAGTATCTAACAAATTGTACACGAACATTTTTATACGTTGTTATATGATGTGTATAACAATGCATAATAATGTTGTATATGGAATTTGTATGCATACGAATTGTGCTTGTAATAATATTATGCTCAGAAGGCCTCACATTCATTCTCAAGC